TAACTGTCCTTTATGCCTCTTAATCAGCTCATTTGGAAGGCTAAACTGCTGGAGGAGGGGAGGGAAAATGCACCCAAAACACCACAATTTAAGAGTCAAAACTCTCAAGGGAGCACAGAACCGAACACCAAATTAAGCAGGGTTCTGTCCAAGCACATGATTTTGGTCTGGGGGATTTTCTGGAAGCTATGGGGATGGGAGGGTGGGGTAAAGAGAAAGGGGAAATGAGAACATATAAAAAAATTGCTATAAACAAAGATATAGCTTTTTTTGTAAAAACCTCAGCTGCCTTTAAAATGAAAAGCCTCAACCTGGCCCCCTCCCCAGTTGCCACTCCGCTGAGACAGAAGTAGGGAACGTGATCACTGGGCTTTGCCAAATGAACTACCTGCAAGGGAGGTGGTGGGGGCTGGGGGTAGGAACAAAAAGATGGCTCGAGCCACTCAATAGTCACATGGGGATGGGTAGTCGGTTTGTTTTTAAAGCAAGCAAGTCAATGTCAAATCCACTGTTTCAAACTGCTTTGTTGGGAGAGGGGCTGAGAGAGGATGTCGTTTTCGTCAGTCCGGGGTAGGATGGGAGTGATCTGGCGAGACTTTCACGATGCCGGGCTGAGCTGCGGAGCCTCCCCCAGCTGGGAGGGTGAGCTGGGGACCGTGGACGCTCCTACGCCTTGCTCTCCTCCACTTTGACCGCTTGAGGTTTGATGGCTCCCGTGCGCACTGGCTTCAACTGGTTGGTGGAGGATGCCTCTTGCAACTTCACTGCTCCCAGGTTGGTTTTATTTTCATCCACTCGCTGTTTTGCCTTTTGACAAAAAGAAACACAGCATCAGTTCACATGGGGACCCAGGAACAAGAGGATGAGGGCCAGCTTCACAACAGTGCCCGGGCACCTAAGTCCAAGGAGCAAACCACAAATGCCCCGTCTTAATGCAGAGGGGCCCAAAGGCACCACAGGGTCGGCTACTGTGTGCACCCAGAGCTCCCATCTTGAGGGGGCCAAACCCCCATATCTCCCACCACCGCCCAGGACAGTTCCTCACCAAGCAGGCTAACAGCAGGGCTGGGACAGGACACTCAATACACCCTTCCTGTTGATATTGTGCCACTATGATTTGGTTAGCTTTGCTGATTGGGCTCAACATACTTTTTTTGGTAAGGCAAGTGTACACCTATGCTCACGCATGCATGCACACACAGGATTATCAAGGGGGAAACTAAGTTCATATCCTAGCACACTAACAGAGCAGGCTGGGTCGTCACAATGGTAGGAACTCTACCAATCTGTGTGCGAGAGCAGATACCATTAGGTCAATGCTCAACAGTATCAACATGCCCTACCTGTTGCACATAGTGTCCCTGCATGGAGCCCATACTGACTGCTGGTCCAGATGGCTTCCCACTAGGGCTGGCAGAGCTAGGCCTGGAAATCAAAGGGTTGAGAGCACACATGGCCTAGGTTACTACAACGGAACAAAAGCCTGGTCTGCATGAAAGTAAGGAGGAACCAGCAGGCTTGGACTGGGGAGCTCTTAAAAACTGTCAACCCAAGCAAGATTATGCATCACTGGGCAGGGGGAGAGGATACAACTAAGAGTCGCAAAAATCCTTTCCCACCTCAAAAGGAGGATCAGAGCATGGAAGGCCGGGCCGGGAGCTTCTAGTTCTTGGGCTCAAAAGGTAGAACTGGAAGGAAGACACATATTTGACGCCCCAGCATGGCCGCCTCACTAAGAGCACCTTCTACTGGTATCAGACCTTCAAGGCTCTGACACAAAAACCAGTCACACTTTTGCATTTCTCCCAGGCCAATTACAGCAGTTTATGGGCTCCCTGCCATGAGAGCAAATCCCCAACACTATGCTTGGAAATCAGTATTCAGACTAGCACAGATTCCATTTCTGAAATTATATTAATGGATCTCAGCCAAGGAAGCATGACGCAAACACTGTTTCACTCCAATGTTAAACATTACCAAGCCTTTCCCACCACACTCAACCCGGTGCTACGGACGGAGCTCTGCAGATCGTTTACCTGTACGTGTGTGGAGACGGTACAGATCCTCCGGAGGACATGTTCTGTTTGCCATCTGTGAAATGAAACCCTTTCATTTCCATTTGAGAGGACTAAGGAGGAAAGTGAGTGAGAAAATATCATCTTTGCATCTACTTGGCAAGCACTCCAATCACATTTTTAGCCTCCCTGCTCCCCTTGTGATGTTGGCAAATACCACTTGCCTCCACTTTACACACGGGGAAGTGTGCTATGCCAGTGAAAGGACTTGCCTATTTTTGGTTGCACAAGCAAAAAGGAAATCTCATTCCTAGTGCTCTCTCCTCTGGAAAAAAACCCGTTGCTTACACGAAGGCATTGAAGCTGACAGGGCATTGCAATACTTGCTCAAACGGGGCTTTTTGACAACAGCGCTGTATTTCACGAGCAGCAGTCCATCTGCACTTGGGAGCTGACTATGCCTTGGAAGAAATGCAGCCCACAGCTGCTCTGTCTGGACACTGCAAAACTGGACTGAGGCATGACCCTGCCTTCTGAAAACAGAAGGCAGCACAGCAGCACAACCCAACAGACTGCTGGCCTGGGCTATGGAGACAGGAGGAATGGAGCTGCTCTGCTCCAACCAGCTGATAGATAAGGAGCCCCCACAAGCAAATCCCCCTCCTCATTAACTGCAGGCCTATAATAGGTGGTTCTTTTTTCAGAGAAAGGTGCAAAACCCAAGTGCAAAGCTTCTTAAAGAAAGCCCAGGTGAGAGCTCTTACCTCCCTGCTGGTTGCAAGAACAGAAGGCTGGGATCCAGGCGGGAGAATCCTGCGGGCTGCTCCGACAGGCAGATTCTGCCCCTGGGGAAGCTGGATGGACTGTGGTAAGATCAGTGGCTGCTGGCCAGAACCGTAACGGGGCAGAGGAAGCTGGGACCCAGGCATAGGCATTGTTAGCTGCATGACAATTACATGTCGTTACTGACAGAAGGAAGGAGAGTGCAGCTCAACATCCTATCCACTCATTGGGCCACCAAAAAACCCCCAAAACACATCACCATTAAAGAGGGACTTTCATACTGCAACGTGTGTCCACGTAGAGCTGCCAACACCCTGTAGCCACACCAAGTGTCCTTTGTATAAAGGGGTGGCCTAAGCAGGTGTGTGCTCTTTACAGAGGGCTTTGCTGATTGCCTCGAGCCTCTCTCACTGCTTTGTCAGTCTTCAGGGTCACTGCCCATATGAGCCTTCTCAGTGGTGCTGGCAGCCACCAGGGCATCAGACAGCTCACATTGTTTTCACCTCAACTTCCACATCCAAACCATGAACGACTTATGCCCCCGGCGGCTGGTGGGGCACGGTGGCGGCAAGCAGGGAAGCTCCTGCGGATGCTGCCGGCACTGTCGGCAGCTGGGGGGAGGGGAGGTGGCGAGCGCTGACCAAAGGTCGGCGACCACCCACAACCACCACCGACAGTGGCAGCCAGCATGGATCGCCCACAGATGCCACCAGCGGTGTCGGCATCAGGGTGGCAAGCAGTGACCACCCACAGGGGCTGCTGACAGTGTTGGCGGTGCCTTTCTGTAGGGGGTGCATCTGTGTGCACCCCATCTGTGTCGCCCCGATCCAAGCAATTGGCTATTCTCTTTTGCTGATGTGATTTTGAGGCCTGTGCCCCACAGACTTCAACCCCTTCTTGAAACAACTGATGAGGGGGGTGGTTAAACATGACTGAAAACTGCACCTCAGAACTCAGTGGCAATTAAACGAGACCAAATTTTCAAAGGGGTCATAAAACCTGGAAGAGGATGCGGGGCAAAAAGAGACTACTGGGCTCTGATCACCAACAGGCCCAGGATCGTTAGCAAACTGCCACTTTGTATTCAATTAGGTGTGGGTGCCACCACTTAGCAGGCACTTTGCACGTGGTTTTCCTTCTTTACAAAAAAGTTCTCTCTGCTCTGTAGCCTCATGTTCCTGCTTACTTGCTCCGACAGTCTTTGTAATTACTGCGTTTGGGACTTCCCATGACTGCTTTGTAATGAGACGCGTCACCACGTGATCCAGGCAGGAGGAACCTAGTTATGGTTTGTCAGGAACCTCTGCACCTCCCCTAGCTAAGCTGTCTTCTGGGTTAACTAGCTTTGTGCTCTCAGCTCTTGCAGCATACAAGCCCCTCTTTAAGCAAAAACAGAGGTTCAGAATTTTCTGGCTTTTCATATTTTTTTAACACAATTGTATCAGACAGCGTAAGCTAAGCTTTACGAAAACCATCAGAAGCCAATCAATGAATGGATGGATCCAGCATGTGGTATGAACATATCGATCTTTCCAGCAGGACTCACTCAGCCTCTGGGAACTATGTTTAAGAAAGCTAAAGCAGAGATGGCAACTCCGGAAAGCAGGGAGATATTCTGTGGAGAAACCTTCAGGACCAGGATGCTCCAAGAGTCGAAATGAGAAGAGATGAGGGTCACTGGCTTAAGGTCAGACAAACTTTCTTGAGAAATCTGGAGGATGAGTTATACATTGTTACCAAGTACGAGGGACCCAGGGCTTGGCCCAACTGGAGGCATGGTTCCTTGTGAAGAGTTTATTCACAAAAGCCCATAGCTTACCACAAATATCTACTAAGACCCAGCCTCAGATGCTGGAGTCATGAGCACATACAAAAAACAAAGCAGCATGCAACCTTTGTTCCTAACCTGTGTAAGCTGGGAGTCCATCATCTGCGAAGCTCCCATACCAGCTGCCTGATTTATCTGGCCTTCATAAACCAGAGTCTGGCTTCCATTCATTGGCTGGTAAGGGGACCCAGACTGTGTTTTCACCATCTCCAAGGGCTGCATGCCTGGGAAGGCGGAGTATGGAGGCTTTAGAGTCGTGCCTCCCGTCAAAACCATGGTATTGGGCTGAGACAGACTGGGGTGCATGTACACCTGAGACCTGAAGAAGAGAAACGGACTTAAACACTGCCCTTGGGCCCTTTTGAGACTGCACTTCTCCCCACTTCATCCCCTATACCCCAGGTGGATGGCAGTCAGGTCACACAGTGAAGTGCAGCATCAAGCCAAACAACAGGGAAACAAAAGCCTTTTTGGCAGTAGAATTCAGTTTTCCCCAGTCTTTCACACTCATCCTAACACTTTTTGGGCTAAAGCCCCTTGTCTGAGGCCCCACAGGAACGTTGACATCGACTTCACCAGAAACAGCCGGCTCTTGACGAACTTCAGTCTAATGGTGGCAACGAGGCGACTGCATTACTAAGAAGCTCACACTGCAGATGGGGTGGTAGAAGCTGTCCCTGGAACGTGAAGGTCTGCCAAGACCTTGCTGTGATGTCCAGCAGCTGGAGAGCGCCAAGGCGTCTTAGCCAAGAATCCATATTTTATTGGGTTGGCTTATTTTATCTAGAGAAGGGGCTGACATCACTGCAGTGCAGGCTGTCATGCCAACACCTTCCCCACATCCCTCTGCCAAGCCTTCTTGCAACACATCTGCTTTGCCAGTCAAATGAACTGGGCAGCAGATGCACGCTGCTGTAGGCATATTTAGCTGTTCACAACATAAAGCTCTGCTGCTGCTCAGATTAACCACCAGAGCCGTTACCTGAAGGGCTGTATGGAGCTGTAGATCTCCTGGGACTGGGACACAGGCAGGCCACCTCTGAGCCCAAGCTGTGCCTGGGCTTGTAAGGATGTGTGAAGGGAAATGGGAATCTGCTGAGCAGCAGCAGCCTGCAGAGGATACAAAGGTGACTGAAAGACATGGAGGCAGCCAGAAACCCTCTTGAGCTGTTCAACATCCATCTGCTTTCTTCAGAGAGTTGCTCTACCTTCCCCCAGCCCCACAAGGTGTCATTTCTCAGAGCACAGTTGCATGGGAACTGGAATAGACTGATGTCTGGGCAGGTGTGACTGAAGCAGTGCAAAAAAGCATAGGACTGAGCTTCCCAGGGACTGATGTTCTTCCCACACAAAACAGGCCCTTCTCCCAGGCAGAGACTATTCTCAAAGGCTCTGGCACTGCCTTCTCCTTTTACCCACAAGAGCTCTCCACAGCCCAGACAGCACTACCGTACCCTGGTGATGGAGATGCTGAGAACTGCTGATGAGTGCTTTGCCTTGGGGGGACGTGGCTGTGGATACACTGGAAAAAGACTGAGGCTCAAACCTGGTCATACATCTCACTCAGAACAAGGCAGGGAAATGGACACGTCCTCATTCTGCCACATATTTGGGCTTTACAGACTCCTCCCTATTAAAACCTGTCAAAATGATTGTGGTGCAAAAACCAGCATCTCCTATCTTCAGCCAGTCTGCTGCTCTGCTTTAGGCAGCTGCAGTCTGTGTTGCGGAGCAGTATTCTCTGGCTGATGGGCAGGGGGAGAAGGACTCTGGACCAACCCAATTCAGAGATGCAGTGACTGCTACTCCCCCTCCAATGCTCACCTGTTGGTAGCTCTGCTGCTGAGGTATCGTCTGAGGAACCAGGCGTGGCTGACTTGCAAACACGTGACCATCAAGGTACAGGGGTGGGATGTGGTTACCTAGAATTTGAAAGGGAAGGGAAGAAAGAGTATGACAACTGAACCCTATTCATTCCAGCATAAACAGAGCCAGAGACAAAGGTACAAGCAGGACAATGAGGTGGAAACTGCAGACCCATCAAGTCTGTTTCTTCGGTCCACACGCCAATGTGTTACGGCAACTTTGTGAAACAGTTGGAAAAATGCCCCGGCCTTTACCCAAAGTGAACTCCACTTCCCTTTAATGAGAAGGTTTTACTCACCAGCCACGTGTTGAGCAAGCATGCTTTTGCAAGGCTGGCACTGTGGGCTGGTAAATGCTAACCTGCTGTTTCCTAGTGTATGACACTGCCCCCTGAGTGAGGGTTGGTAGTTCAGGAAGAATCAATTGAGCTGAGTTACAAACCAGTCATAAAGAAAACTCAGTGGTGGTCAACTTGGACTGCTCACCATCACCAGGTCTTTGCAGCTGGGAGGCACAAAATTGCAGCCCCATGGCAAAAGACAAAGTAAGCATTTGCTTCAGAAAATACGTGCACACGAGGGCACCAGGAAGGAAGCATTGATCTATCCTGCACCACAGTGAAGCGCCATGCAGGAGAGAGGGTGGAAAAAACACACACTTGTCTCTACCTCTGGGGACAGCCAGCTTTGTAAGCGGAAAACGTAGACAATTTAGTCACTGCAAATGGTTTGCCCACTAGTAGCTGTCCTCAGTATAGCCCATCCCACTCAACAGCTGCAGAGGGAGAGCTAATAAGCAGGGTGCTAAGTTTTTGATTCGGGGGGGGGGGG